CTCATTGCTGATGATACTGGGATAGAACAATGTCCTCACTGTTGCTGTCATTATCGGTATGATGTTAATCATCTATGCTTAACCACACCAAAGTGTTCCTCCTGTAACAAAGTCAACTGCGACAAAGACAACAGAAGGGGCTATTGCAAAAACAAACCGCTGTGTGCTGACTGTACGATGCTTAATCAAGATCCAAGAGATCACCCCACAAATCATTATATTGATTGCTCAACTATACGTTTTATTAGGATGGTGATGTTGAAAAACAAAAACATTATATATGGAAATTTGCGACTACACTCATTTTCACACCCAATTAAAGGTCACTGCATCTACATATGCTAAAGGAAGTGAAGCCAATACAACTCATTAAGAAAACAGAAAATCAAAAGCTTCATTAATTTGTCAACAGCTAAAAGAGTTTGATCCTCTGAGCAATCCGTATGTACAATTCCGATTCCTATAAGCCTCAATAGTTACACCCACTGTCTAAACAATTTTCTTATTTCACTCTGTATCTCTCGATTCCTCTGAAATTTCATTACTATCATTCTCTTATGTCACTTAACTGTACGAATAACACAATTAATGGATAAAATAAATAAACGAATTAACGAAAAAAAAAAAAAAAATATCATTTTGTTGCTCTGTTGTTGTTCACATTCTTTACTTCATTTATTGAAATGGCCATGGGAAAAGTATAAAAAGAAAAGACAACTGAGGGGAAGTACAATAAGCTCATCCTTTTATTATCGGGATTATCTTACGAAAGAAAAATGGATAAGAATTAGGTCAAAATGAAAGGAAATACATCAATTTATGTCAATGATGATAGAATATGGTTTCTGAAAGCGAAAAGGGTAACACCGAAACACTAGTTTTCCTTTGAATGGTCAGAGATTGAACATGAACTGGCAATTTCGGTTGCTAACTGGTTACTCTCTCTCATTCTTTGATGGTCCTCACATGACGCAATCATCTTTTCGACGCCATCCTTGACCACCTTCTCCTTTACGAAAAGCCTGGAGGTTATGAAAACTTCATCAGCAATACTTTTCTTCATGAGAAGGAAGTCTTGAGTTGTGAACTCCATGATCTCCTCATCAATAAGATGACCATGAGAACTGATGTTTACCTCGTACCAATTTAGCACGTCCACCTCTGCACCACTCTGAATCATACCGGCATATGCCTTGAGCAGATCCTCCAAATTGGGATCTTGGGAATCCAACAGGCTCAAATGGAACTGTGAACATGCCGGATTACGTTGGGACCAGATACCAGCGAAACCTGAATAGCTACAATAAGAGCAAGGAACGGAGGTTTGTGGATGAGCTCGTGAATGCAAAATAACGAATTCCTTACTATCAGTATGACTGATCATGCATGAAAGATAGTTGGTGCGACAATAAACATACATCGCAGTATTATATCACAACAACTACAAAGGAATACTACAGTGAGTGTAAGATTGAAGAACACAAAGAACAATGATGATAATGTCAAAGATCAAGGCTCCTTATATATAGAGAATTTACCGAGAGCTGAGATGAGGCAATCACTAATACTCATTGCTATTTGACATGGAAAATAAAATAACTTTATGACTAAGAAATAAGAGCCTTACTTAGTTTTACTACTGGTTCAAAATGGACGGTTATAAATCCATTAATATAGACGTAGTCTTCTAATGGGTAGCTTAATTGGGATATAAAACCAAGAAAGCAAAAACAAGCTAAACAAAGGAAGTAGAAAAAGAAAAGATAAGAAAAGAGGAGTGGCAGAGAATAGTGAAGAACTTAGATATAGATTAGGTCATTAAGGGTACTCATTTCGATCTCTAATTAGACTCGGTGATACTTCTCTCGGGAATTCATAGTGTTTATTCATAGTTTTTAAAACAATGGATGTTAATATAAAGTTAATAAATATGAGAAGGAGAACCAATAATAATGGTTTGATTAATACCCTTGTTGGTGAAAAGTTCTTTGTGATAAGCTGCGAGGATCTTGACAACAAAGAGAGTCCAAGGGATATAAGAGGCGATGGAGTAAGGATAAGATGTCCGCCAGGCTGGGTCTCAAAAAGACAGGTGAACTTTGGTCGTATCATAGTGGGGGAATTTGCCAAAGGAAACTGTGTAATTAGAGTGATTGGAGCATACATCAGTCCAATGAATCAACTACACCTGACACATTTGAACGACATCATTGATCAGATAGTCGACAAAATCCCAACATTTATCATTGGAGATCTGAATATTGAGACTGAAATCTGGGTCGAAAAGCCCAGGAGAGTGGATCCGATTATTACGAGTAACCTAACGCGTTTAAAGGACTCTTTAATACTGAAAGGCTTTTATTCCACCATGCCGAAAAACAGGGAAGAAGGAACAACCAGACCTCCTGAAAAGAGTACGAATGGAAATGGCTCAGTTATTGATGTGATCCTTACGAACTCTGAATGTAGCATCAAAAAGGCAGAATTGGTGAAGATTCAATTTCTTGATCACTTGATGCTGAGCCTTGAGTGCATCATAAGGTACAAACCGATAAGAATGAGCAACAGTCTCCCCAAACAAGCGAGATACGTTAACAATTTTTTACCTGAGAACTTTGACTTGCTCTCTACACATGATAAGGTCTCGACAATCTTGAACTTAGCGAAAGCAATCAAGATGAAGACTGTAGCCACTGGTAATAGGAAAACGCGACGTCTCAAAAAAGCACTGAGAAGACAACATGATATAGAAAGAAAGGAAGAAATTAGAGTGAGATTGATACGGTACAACAGGAGAACGCTGGTTAAACCATGGAAATATGACATTAACACGCTTCATAAGATCATTAATGAAAAGAAGATTGCGAGTGTATTGAACAACCAGAGCAAGATAAACGAGAAGATGCTGCTAATACCATTCTTCAAATTAAAATTAAATGATAATGAAGAGAGAAGATTGTATACAAGCCTGGACGAAGAAGAAATCATGCATATTGAGGACACAAAATTCAACACATCATCTGGATGGGCAGATCCCTTTACAAAGACACGATGGAAAAGAATCTGGGAAAAAGGGAAAAAACAAATCATCAGAACGATAGATGAAATCTTCAGAGTAGGTGTAATACCTGAGCAGATGCTGATAAGCGGTGGAACATTGATACCAAAAACAAATGGCGAATTTAGAACGGTTAGAACCCAATCATTCCTTTCCAAAATTTTAGATGGCGTATTGATGATGAGACTGAAGAAATGGATAAAAAAGAATATGGCTGTGGATGAAACACTTCAATTCGCATACTTAGGGAAAAGGAGGGACGAGTTATTATTGAAAATTTATGAGAGAAGTGATGAATTCAAACTTATTCTTGCTCTGGATCTCAGTAAAGCCTTCGATAAAGTTAGTAGAGATGAAATGATCTTCAGAATGGAAGGAATGGATAGACAGACAAAGGAACTGATAAAACAATTTATCACAAATAGGAGAATTAGAACATTTCGCGATGGCAGAGTCACTGTGGAGAGAGACCCCGAGGGACTTCAGGGTTTTGGCCTTGGACCGTTATTATTCACGCTTGCGATGGATAGACCCCTGAGAATGCTCAATGGAACAAGAAAACACATGGTGTTGGCATATGCCGATGACATTGTCGTCCTGACCAATAACTATGAAGAATCGATTGGATTGATCAGACAATGCTTTGAAGGTATAAATCTGATGCTGAATGAAAGCAAAACAAAGAAGCTAACCCTAGCTTCAAACGAAAGGATATTGGGGTACGAAATAACCTTCAACAAATCAATTGATGTCCTGATATCGAGATTAAGCAATGGAATAAAACTTAATACTATGCATGCACAATTATTCCAACAACTAAACATCAGACAATTAAGAATCGTTTACTATGCTCACTTTGGACATTTGATGAAAAGGCTAGGCTTTGCCCCTTGGTATGAAAATAGACTGTACAAGTATAGAATGACAATGTTGAGAAGATTGGGAAGGAGAATCACGAGCGATTTCATGGCAAATGGAAGACGGTACAAAAATGCAATACTTGAAAATCTACACCGTCTCCCCAACCCCTTCGATTCTTACTTTACTGAGATGCTGATGTTGCTCTGGTGGCATGAAACTGAGGTTGAGAAATTTCCAGTAGTAAGCTGGGGTATGGATATTCTAGACCATTGGCGATGGGAAATAACACTTCAACACGAAGATAGGAACACATCCCAACCCCGAACTACCAAAAACATCTGGATAAGATACCTAGACAGAGACAGATGCTGCGGGCAAAGTACTGACTGGCACAAACACTTTGAGTTATACGGGGTGCACTCCAGCTTTGATTCAGAGAGGACATTGTTGACAGTGGTAAATGAACTTCATAGGGAAAATGATGAAGTGAAATACCAACTGAATTTGGAGTGGAAATTAAAAGGCTATAACTCAGAGGTTACCAGAAACAGAATAAAAGAGCTTGGATGGTCTGTGAGGCATCACAACGAAAATTCAGAAAATCACAAAATGTGTGATAATGAAAACGTGAAATCCATCAAGCTACCAATATGTAAGACTAGGAAACAAATTAAAACGATGATTCAAAATAGGTTAAGAGAAGAGGAGGATGAAGAATTCAAAAAACAAGTAAATGGTTTCACAAAAATGATCTTTGAGCGCAAACCAGAATTCCTGACAGCAGGTTACATGCCCTATCAGTTGACACTAATACAAGCGGTCAACTATATTGACAAAAATATAACGCATCTAATTCATGAATGTGATGAACAAATGGACATTAATCATCTGAAGAACTGTAAAAGTTATACACCTGTAAATGGATGGCAAATAAATAAAAACAACTGGAAGGAAATCAAAAAGGTGATACAAATAATGAAAAACAACATTAAAAACTGTTCGCAGAGGCTTTAAAAGCCGACTCTCAATGGGAGAGCCACACTCCGCTAGGATGTGGGAACAGCTGTTTAATCAGCAGAGCCGGAGGCTCTAAACGAAGAAGGCTTATGAAGAAACCTAAACAATAAACATCATCGTTTATATCACATTTTAATTTTCCCTTTTCCTTTTTTATTCATTAGAAGAAAATTTGTTTTCTCTTTTTCTTCTATTCTAATCTGTGTGTAAATTTTCTGGTCTTTTTAACCCACACCCGTTTTTTCCTCTCCCTCTCTTTTACCCACAATCTGGTTTACCTGTAAATTTGACGTTAATTTTTTTTCCTCTTTCATTTTTGCTCTTTCTTTTTCTTTCTTCATCTTCCTCTTTCTCATCTTCCTTTTTCCCCTTGTGTTAACATTGTATTACATATTCACAACACACACACACACACACATCACACGCAACACCAACAAGAATTTAAAATGAAGTTGATTTTATTTACATTTTAATTTTCTTTTCTCTCTATTTGGAATATATCATGTTGTTCTTCTTCCTCTTCTTCCTGTCCTTCTCATAATGACCGCTTGACCGTTTTAATTGCTCACCTTTTTTTCTTTTCTCTCTCCCTCACCTTTTAGCTATTCTGCCTCTTCATTTTCTCTCTTTTTCTCTCTTACCTCTCTCTCTCTCCTCTTTTTTTTTCTTGTATCTTTGTGTGTCTTGTGAGATCTTGATTAGAGGAGAAGCCATGAGCCTGGAGACACTTCTTGAAGCTGCCAGGTATTTGAGTAGAGTTGAACAAGATACAGGTAAGTCAATGGGATCAAATTCTCTTCTCTTTTTCTTCACTTCTCCTTTGCCCTCTCTTTTTTTTTCTCTTCCTTTTTCCAATCTCCTTCTTCTCCTCTTTGTCTCTTTTGTTTTGGTTCCATCATTTTCCTCTGTTTATTTTGTCCGTTGTTTTCTTTTTCTTTTTTGGCTAATTTTTCTTCTTCTCTTTTTTACATATTTGTGACTACGTGTGGATCTTCCCTTGTATCTTCATCTCTGTGCTGTGTGTTGTTTTGTGCTTGTAGTTTTATCATCGAGCCTTTCAAGCCAGTCTTCTACTCTCTCCTCGAGTCCAACAAGTACCAGTTCATCTTCTTATCGACGACGTGCTCTTTCCACTGGATCATCAACCAGCAGTTCGATTAAAGTTGGTAGAGGCTCTCGTACCTCACGAAATAGTGAATCAAGTCATGATGCTGATTCTGCAGCCTCCAATCGTCATCGTGAGATGCATAAAACTTCAGAGAAAAATCGTCGAGCCCAGTTGAGAGATTGTTTTGAACAGTTGAAAAAAGAACTGCCCCAACCTGAATATCGAGATCGTAAATCATCTCATATAAATATAATTAATTGTGCTCTAAGGTGTATACAAAATTTAAAGAAAAAAGAAGCAGAAAATGAGATTGAAATGGCTCGTCTTTCAAAGGCAAAGCTTCGCCATCAGAATACCATTTCCCAGTTAAGGCAGGATCTTAAATTAGGCAATTTAATTGATGAAGATGTTATTTTAAAAGATGCTACTGATGCTGCTATTGTTCCAGTTGTTGGTGCTTTTGAGGTAGTTGGTAATGGGATCAATGGATCAACATCATGAACACAAAACACAAACTGTTTGACAAGAAAATTTATAATGTTATTGATTGTTCTTTCATTGATTCTGTTTCCTTTTTGGATCACAATTAAACGAAAAAATTTTGGCTGGCTTTCTGGGAAAGATTTTCAAACTTTTGAGATACCAAAATTGATTGTGATTTAATTTCTTCTCTTCTGGCGGAAAATCTGGACAGCGAATCAGTAGCAACCTTTAAATTGAGAAAAGAGAAAATCAGAGAGAGAAAAAAAAACAAAAAATTGATCGAGAAAATAGAAAATTAGTCTATTAATCATTGATTGGAATACTCACAGTTAATTCAAAATTGAAGGCGCAAAATCTCTTGACAGGTAAGTTACCGTCTGAATAGAATTGTCAATTCTATAGTTAGGTAACAAGGATAATCAGGTTATCATCAGTCATAAGTATCAAATGATTAATTGGTCTCAAATGTTATCATTGTCTAGTCTCTCTCTTCCTCTCCAATGAAGGTTAATCAGTCACATCAAAAGGCTTAAAGGGAAGAACGAATTTATAAAATTTGTAAAGGTAAAAGTGTAAAAGTCGAGCTGATCTGAGTCACCGAAATAACTAAATGTTCCTTGATTTTCATTGAACTTTACGTAGTAGCAAATTAATAGCAATTTAAAACTCTTATTGTCATCCAGCCAATTGACTTGGAATACGAACATAAATTAATGAATTGCGAGTGTAAACACAACAATCGAGTGAATCTCTTCTCGGACCAGAAATTCAAATACCAACAACAAACAACTTTCGATTGGTACTAGTTATTCATCATGATAATTGTATTAATATGATATCAGCACAATCAATTGTATTATATTCATGTATCAATCAATCAGAGTATTCACCGAAATGAAACAATTTCATTAATCTGAATGACCAGAAAATCTGTTTAATCTACCGATTGGTACATTTTTTGTGTATTTAATTTCAAACTTAATTGCTTTCTCTATGTAATTGTAATCATAAAGTTGAGTAATTAACAACCTGATCCCAGTGATTGAAACTAAATTGTTGATGAAAAAATCGGTTACAAGTTTTGCTACTAAAATATTACTTTCTTTCAATTTCGATTGATTAAAATCAATTTTTCGACTTAAATTGAATTCAATTCCAATTAAAAACAATTGTAAAAGTTTCTTACCGACGCGAGAAAAGTCATTTGGGATAATTTATCAAAAACAATTTATTAATGATAATTAGATTTTTAGTTTTAAATTTTAGATTTTAGATTTTGATTTTTTACGATTTCCTGTCGCTGGACCAACTTCATTGGGATTCCGACGATTGTGTGAGGCCATTTTTTGTTTAGTAAATTTTGACGCTCGACTGTAAACATCATTGAGAGCAAATGGAGTTGATCTGATAACATAACCAGGATCGGAAAGAATTGAATTACAATTAAGAGCTTTTTTCTCCTCGAAAGTTAATTTAGATGGTCGATTTTGTGGTCTACGTTGATCTTCAAATAGAATCGGATCGTTGCCATGTTTACCTCCTTTCGGCATGGGTAGTGAATATTTGGTCCCTCGAGTGCTGATTTGTCGCTTGAAATTAATTTGAATCACTTTTTCTCCTTTCTCATTAACCACAACTGAGACTCTCTTCAAGGTTCCATGGTTACCACACGATGGACAAAACTTTTTGTCCATTTTGCAGGTCGTCTTATAACAAGCGTGACATCTCAGGATAAATTGTCGAGCTTGTTTGATAACCAACCCTCGGACCGAGGCCACTTTAAGGCCCATTTGAATTAAAACGTTTTGCATCGCAAAATCTGAGGTCATACAAGCGACTAGACATTTATCCTCTTCTAGGACCAAGTTTTTCATCGCCTCTTCAGCTGCAGCTAAATTGTTTGGTGTTATCCATGAATCGGGATCATCATCATCTTCATCATCATCATCTTCTTCGCTATCTTCATTGCCAGCTTCTCTTTCGTCATTTTGGTTTTCCAAGTTATTTTCGAGATTTTCACAATTTCCCTCGTTCTCATTTTCATCAATAATCACATTTTCATTGTCTCTTCTGTCACCATCTCCACTGATTTCATCTGATCCTTTAATGTTTCCTTTTTCTGTTTCAGTCTTTTCCTCATTTCCATTGTTCCCTTTCCTTGGATTAAAGAATCCAGGCAGTTTAATAGGTCCAACATTTTCCAAAGCTCTTGCATTATCTGTAACAATTATTTTCGGCTCCTTATTAAGATGATCATTTTTACCTCCATGAGCTTGTACATCCAGACCATAAGTGAGCGCGATTAATTTCAAATCAACAGGAGATAAACTCGCATAATCACCCGTTTTACGACTAAACTGTGAGACTATCTTGACATCTTCTGGATCTGGATCACGAAAATCAATCTGATAAGGTAAACGCGAAAGTCTTTCCTTTGTCTGTCGATCTTTAATCTCACCAATCACATCAACAAGTGTAACAACATTTTCAGTCAATTCATGGATATCGAATCCATTGATGAAACCAGATGAGTCCACAATCAACCATTTGAACTTTTTCTCCGTCATAATAATCAAAAAGTGAACATAACAAAAACCAATAAAACAAAACAACAATAACAGAGTCGGAAGACTTTAAACATGTGGTCAATTCATGGAAAGAACTAATCGATTACCGATTCCATTGATCGATTATCTGCATTTCTCGATTTTCTCTCGCAGTTTATTAAGCGATCAATCGATTTACTAGAAAATCTTTGGATAATCGAACAGTTGAAATCTCACTAGTCGACCATCTGATGAGATTCTCATCTAATTAACCACATTAGAAATTCTAATTGAGAGTTCCCTAGTTTTCTTATCGCGAGATGTCTCTGTTTATTTCTCAGGTGCGAATCAAGTGAGCCGAGCGAAAGCGGCTGATTCCTGGTGAATTTGAGTGGAAAAAAGGAAACAGCTTATGAGTCAAAGTTTTGGCTCAAGCCTTTAGTTTCAACTTGTGATTAAAACACTATCATAACATTCACAATGAATGATTCATTTTAGTGAAACGTTTCAAAGTATATTTAAATCTATCAATCTAATTGATTGAGTTGTTTATCTTTAATCTTGATTCTTAGTTCATCTTTAGAATTAATTTTAAAATCATTATTTTTCTTTAGAAATTATGATTGAAATGAAAACCAATGTCATCGAAACAGGGAAAATTCCTGATGCCTCTGAATATATTACCGAACGAAGTATTTTATTACAAGTTGCCGAATCTACGTACAGATTTTTCCTCGGGTCGATTGCTGGTGCAGCGGGTGCCACCGTTGTCTATCCAATCGATCTGGTTAAGACTCGAATGCAAAATCAACGAACTGGTCTCAGTAAAGCGGGTGAATTAATGTACAAGAATAGTTTTGATTGTGCTCGTAAAGTGATCACCAGGGAAGGTGTTTTTGGCCTTTATCGAGGATTAGCTCCACAATTGGTCGGTGTTTGTCCAGAAAAAGCAATTAAATTAACTGTGAACGATTTTGTCCGCGATAGATTAACATCAACCTCTGGTAGAATCACTTTACAATCGGAAATATTTGCCGGATGTTGTGTAAGTTTCTTTTTTCATCTTCTCTCGAATTATTTTCACCTTCATTTATCTCTTTCTCTTTCAATCTCGTGATTTTTATCTAATTGATTATAATGATTTCTATAATTTCAAGGTTAATTCAATATTATGGCTATTGCTCAATTTTTTTTTCTCTTTTCTATCAACTGTTAGGCTGGAGCTTCTCAAGTGATGTTCACTAATCCTTTGGAAATTGTTAAAATTCGTTTACAAACCGCTGGAGAAGTTCCAAATTCGACTAAACTTAGTGCTGGAACAGTTATCAGAGAACTTGGATTTAAAAATTTGTACAAAGTAAGGACGAATTAAACTCCAATATTCATTCTTGTTTTCAATCCATTTTTCGGTTTTCAGGGAGCTTCAGCTTGTTTTCTCAGAGATATTCCCTTTTCCGGAATCTATTTTCCCGTTTACGCTAATTGCAAGTTATACTTTGCTCCCGATGGACACAATTCACCAGGAACCTTATTGTTATCGGCCTGTATAGCAGGTAAAGTTGATACGATTAAGATTTTCTATTCATATTTACAAATTCTGTCATCAACTAATCAAACCAATCTCGCTGTTTGTCATTGTTTATTCATCAGGTGTACCGGCTGCTTATTTAGTTACTCCCGCTGATGTGATAAAAACTCGTCTTCAAGTGGCCGCTCGACAAGGACAGACAACCTACAGTGGCCTTTTTGACGCTGCGCGTAAAATCATGGCTGAAGAGGGATTCAGTGCTTTTTGGAAGGGTGGACTGGCCCGAGTATTTCGAAGTGCACCTCAATTCGGGTTTACTTTATTAACTTACGAAGTGCTACAAAGATTTTTCTTTATTGATTTTTCTGGTCGCTCATAAACGATAAACAAAGTTACTAAAAGATACCTTTCAAGGACAAGAATGTGCCTTATTAACCTGATTGAAGAATTTATCCAGACTAACGGAATTATTTTCGTATTATTATGATAAAATAAATAAAAATGGTCGTTGATTAAAGGTCGCTACCCGATCAGTTGCTGCTTCAGTCACGGTTGCAAGTAGTAGTAGCGGAGAAAAGGGAAAAGGTCGAAAAAAGTAAAACCAACACAAACAATTTTCCTCGTGATTCTCAGATTGATTATTTTGGTTTTCTTTTCTCTCTCTCTCTCTTTTTCCATTCATTAATCAATTGCAACATGTTCATTTCTCGAAAATTGTCTCAATCTTCTGAATTAACATGTCCATCATTCACTCAGTTAATATAATGTATTATTATATTGTCCACATTAAAGCGAAAACAAAACCATTTTTGCCATTGAAATTATCGTTTCAGTAGTAATTCAGTTAGTTATTATAAGACGACTTTCGGTAAAAGGTCACTTAGAGCTTGGACTTCTTTCGAATTGATTGGCTTCAATTTGAACGAATCATCAACAGGTTTATTTTCCAATCGCCTCAGTTCATCATAACTCTCCTTAATTGAGTCTCGAAGTCCGTTGATCGTCTCATCCAGATGAACTTGATCTAACAAAAGAAACAAAGAAACAGAGACAATTAAAAATAGTCGAAACAATAATTAAAATAGTAGATCAACTTACCTTTTTCAATGATATGTTTCCCTTTTTCTGTAAGTGTTTGAACAAACATGTTACCGAAACAGAGCCAAACCTTTTTCTGGTCCTTTTTTTGTATCATCCTAGTGGACAAATAAGTGGACAAATAAGTGGACAAATTAACTCTAATCTACAGTATCTATTAATAGTGAATTAGATGAGATCATTGGAACAATTAACTAACCTTAAAGCTTCCCGATTTTTGTTCCTTCTCCGATCAAAATCCACAATCATCTCTTTGTCATTAACAATTGTTTCTCCGACCTTTTCGATACCTTCAAGTAATCGAATCGCTTTGTCCAAATCATTCGCTGGTTTTTCATCGACCGACATAATCAAAGCTGAAAAGTAATCAAATGATAACAAGAAATTAATTGAAGAATTAATCCATTTACAGATGAAATCAAAAAGTAAACAAAAGAAAACCAACCAATTAGAATGAGTTTTTTGACCAAATTAACTGAATAGTTGAGGAGGTGAAGTCAAGAGATGATAATTAGATAGAGAACTGAATCAATTGAAATGGAAAATCAATGGAAATAATGAAAATGAAATCGAGATGAAAATGAAGCGACGATCCGATGAAATGAAAAGAGAAAACTTGATGACACTTTGCACTTAGAATACTTTCCATTAATCGACCACATGTTCAGTTAAAGTCTTTCGACTGTTTTTGTTTACAATTGACTTTCTTTTCTCTTGTTTTCTTTATTTTTTGTTATGGTCACTTTTCGATTATTATGACGGAGAAAAAGTTCAAATGGTTAATTGTGGACTCATCTGGTTTCATCAATGGATTCGATATCCATGAATTGACTGAAAATGTTGTTACACTTGTTGATGTGATTGGTGAGATTAAAGATCGACAGACAAAGGAAAGACTTTCGCGTTTACCTTATCAGATTGATTTTCGTGATCCAGATCCAGAAGATGTCAAGATAGTTTCACAGTTTAGTCGTAAAACGGGTGATTATGCGAGTTTATCTCCTGTTGATTTGAAATTAATCGCGCTCACTTATGGTCTGGATGTACAAGCTCATGGAGGTAAAAATGATCATCTTAATAAGGAGCCGAAAATAATTGTTACAGATAATAAAAGAGCTTTGGAAAATGTTGGACCTATTAAACTGCCTGGATTCTTTAATCCAAGGAAAGGGAACAATGGAAATGAGGAAAAGACTGAAATAGAAACAGAAAAAGGAAACACCAAAGGATCAGATGAAATCTGTGGAGATGATGACAGAAAAGACATTGAAAATGTGATTATTGATGAAAATGAGAACGAGGGAAATTGTGAAAATCTCGAAAATAACTTGGAAAACCAAAATGACGAAAGAGAAGACGACGATGAAGATAGCGAAGAAGAAGAAGATGATGATGATGATGATGATCGATTCATGGATAACACCAAACAATTTAGCTGCAGCTGAAGAGGCGATGAAAAACTTGGTCCTAGAAGAGGATAAATGTCTAGTCGCTTGTATGACCTCAGATTTTGCGATGCAAAACGTTTTAATTCAAATGGGCCTTAAAGTGGCCTCGGTCCGAGGGTTGGTGATAAAACAAGCTCGACAATTTATCCTAAGATGTCACGCTTGTTATAAGACGACCTGCAAAATGGACAAAAAGTTTTGTCCATCGTGTGGTAACCATGGAACCTTGAAGAGAGTCTCAGTTGTGGTTAATGAGAAAGGAGAAAAAGTGATTCAAATTAATTTCAAGCGACAAATCAGCACTCGAGGGACCAAATATTCACTACCGATGCCGAAAGGAGGTAAACATGGCAACGATCCGATTCTATTTGAAGATCAACGTAGACCACAAAATCGACCATCTAAATTAACTTTCGAGGAGAAAAAAGCTCTTAATTGTAATTCAATTCTTTCCGATCCTGGTTATGTTATTAGATCCACTCCATTTGCTCTCAATGATGTTTACAGTCGAGCGTCAAAATTTACTAAACAAAAAATGGCCTCACACAATCGTCGGAATCCCAATGAAGTTGGTCCAGCAACAGGAAATCGTAAAAAATCAAAATCTAAAATCTAAAATCTAAAACTAAAAATTTAATTATCATCAATAAATTGTTTTTGATAAATTATCTTAGATAACTTTTCTCGCGTCGGTAAGAAACTTTTACAATTGTTTTTAATTGGAATTGAATTCAATTTAAGTCGAAAAATTGATTTTAATCATTCGAAATTGAAAGAAAGTAATATTTTAGTAGCAAAACTTGTAACCGATTTTTTCATCAACAATTTAGTTTCAATCACTGGGATCAGATTGTTAATTACTCAACTTTATGATTACAATTACATAGAGAAAGCAATTAAGTTTGAAATTAAATAGACAAAAAATGTACCAATCGGTAGATTAAACAGATTTTCTGGTCATTCATATTAATGAAATTGTTTCATTTCGGTGAATACTCTGATTAATTGATACATGAATATAATACAATTGATTGTGCTGATATCATATTAATACAATTATCATGATGAATAACTAGTACCAATCGAAAGTTGTTGTTGTTGGTATTTGAATTTCTGGTTCGAGAAGAGATTCATTCGATGTTGATTATTACAATTAAACACTATAAGAAAAATTACTCTCCACTTTTCCACCGATTATCGGTTGAGTAAAAGGAGATAACCAGGTTATGCTGAAACCTTTACCGAAAACATCACGAAAACCTTTTAGTGACCTTTTCCTCCAAGTTTTGTTTTCTCTTTCAATGATTCGATTCCAGTTTCGTTGTTGTAAATACTTTGAATTTGTACTCCAAACATGATAAAAGTAAATATAGCAAATAGTAGTGCTTCAAACATAAGGCAAACCAAGAGGACGATCGTCATTGGATTAGGATTAACATGACCAACTTGTTTAGGTCCACATTCTGATTCCAAAGAGAGAAAAAGAAATAATCAAATCAAAATTAATCATATGAAAAACGTTAGAAAAGGTTATCCTATTTTCTATATCATCATGATATTATCATGTAATCAAGGCTAAGCTGAGTGATAACTTACGTTTCCAATCGGATTCAATGCATTTAACAAAATGAACAACGACAAGGAATAAGGCATGACAAGAGATTAGAGCGATATAGAATGTGAATAGAACAAAAAACTTTTGATTATTTAATCCAACACAATTGTTGACCCAAGGACAATGATGATCCATCTTCCTGATACAACGTTGACAAACTGAACAGTGATGAGCTCGTTCGGGTTTTATGCTGCAACATTTTTGACATTTGTACAAGACTTGACCTTCACTGAGACCTTTTGTAAAATAAGAGAGAGAGAGAGAGAGTGGGATAAGACAGTGTTACTCTCGATGATTATTAATCCATGAAATAGACAATCTATCGTGCGAAAGGCACCTCATCAATTGTTATCTTTCACAATCAGATGAAATTTTCACCAACAGCTGATTTTTTTACCACCAATGATTGAGTTTTCAGTTAACGGAAAAGACTCTTTAATCACTTGAAGAGTAATCAATTTGGTTTTTAGGTAAAAAAAGTTCCACTCAAACTAATTAAGACTCTTGTAAATTGACATTGTAAATGAAAGAATTAGCTATTTGTAGGGAGTCTCATTATCGGTGGATTTATACTGTACTAAATTAAATTAAATCGATTGGAAATTTACCTAGTGACTCAATTGCTTCTTTTGTTGCTGTTCCTCTGGGAACAGCTCCTGGATCGGTGAACATAGTCCTCAGGTGACTAGAAACAGCAAGAAAGGCAAGAACTTGAAAGATAAATAAATTGAGAAATTTATAGTAACTCTCTTCTTCTGGTAACAGGATATATCTCATGACGACAAATTCACCAAATACTATTAATAACCAGGTAAAAAAAGAACAAATGATTCCACAGACATCGCGAACAAACCATAATCCACCGAAGCAGCGATTGTGTTTGTCGATCATTTTTCATCACCATAATAATCGAAAAGTGACCATAACAAAAAATAAAGAAAACAAGAGAAAAGAAAGTCAATTGTAAACAAAAACAGTCAAAAGACTTTAACTGAACATGTGGTCGATTAATGGAAAGTATTCTAAGTGCAAAGTGTCATCAAGTTTTCTCTTTTCATTTCATCGGATCGTCGCTTCATTTTCATCTCGATTTCATTTTCATTATTTCCATTGATTTTCCATTTCAATTGATTCAGTTCTCTATCTAATTATCATCTCTTGACTTCACCTCCTCAACTATTCAGTTAATTTGGTCAAAAAACTCATTCTAATTGGTTGGTTTTCTTTTGTTTACTTTTTGATTTCATCTGCAAATGGATTAATTCTTCAATTAATTTCTTGTTATCATTTGATTACTTTTCAGCTTTGATTATGTCGGTTGATGAAAAACCAGCGAATGATTTGGACAAAGCGATTCGATTACTTGAAGATATCGAAAAGGTCGGAGAAACAATTGTTAATGACAAAGAGATGATTGTGGATTTTGATCGGAGAAGGAACAAAAATCGGGAAGCTTTAAGGTTAGTTAATTGTTCCAATGATCTCATCTAATTCACTATTAATAGATACTGTAGATTAGAGTTAATTTGTCCACTTATTTGTCCACTTATTTGTCCACTTATTTGTCCACTTATTTGTCCACTTATTTGTCCACTAGGATGATACAAAAAAAGGACCAGAAAAAGGTTTGGCTCTGTTTCGGTAACATGTTTGTTCAAACACTTACAGAAAAAGGGAAACATATCATTGAAAAAGGTAAGTTGGTACTATTTTAATTATTGTTTCGACTATTTTTAATTGTTTCTGTTTCTTTGTTTCTTTTATTAGACCAAGTTCATCTGGATGAGACGATCAACGGACTTCGAGACTCAATTAAAGAGAGTTATGATGAACTGAGGCGATTGGAAAATAAACCTGTTGATGATTCGTTCAAATTGAAGCCAATCAATTCGAAAGAAGTCCAAGCTCTAAGTGACCTTTTACCGAAAGTCGTCTTATAATAACTAACTGAATTACTACTGAAACGATAATTTCAATGGCAAAAATGGTTTTGTTTTCGCTTTAATGTGGACAATATAATAATACATTATATTAACTGAGTGAATGATGGACATGTTAATTCAGAAGATTGAGACAATTTTCGAGAAATGAACATGTTGCAATTGATTAATGAATGGAAAGAGAGAGAGAGAAAAGAAAACCAAAATAATCAATCTGAGAATCACGAGGAAAATTGTTTGTGTTGGTTTTACTTTTTTCGACCTTTTCCCTTTTCTCCGCTACTACTACTTGCAACCGTGACTGAAGCAGCAACTGATCGGGTAGCGACCTTTTTATCAGCGGCAGCCTTTGTTTTGGCCTCTTCCTTTAATCGTTTTTCATCTTCCCTTTTTTTAGCGGCTTCTTCCCTCTGTTTTTTAATCACAGCTAATCGAGCCAAATCTTCACGAGCTTGTTCAGTTTTACCTTCCATTGTTAGTTTGGCATAATGTTCACGGGCTAATTGTTTCTCAAGCTCTTCACGTTCTCGTCTTGACAATTCAACCTTAGCATTTACCAGATTGTCCAACTCTTTCTTAGATGGTTTTTTAACAGCTCGATTTGGATTATTAACTTCAATCAAAGGTTCAACCGCCTTGTTAGCATCACCACTTCCATCGGCTTCTCCACTTCCACCTGCTCGAGCTACTACACCAGGGGCTTCTTCCTCCTCACTTGATGTCTCTTCTTCCTCCTCACTGTCATCTTCATCTTCAGAGCTACTCTCAATTTCACCTCGACGTTTTCTCCATTCCCTTTCCTTTTCTTCCTTTTCCTGTTTAGCAACCATATCTTGAGGATTGGTGAATTGACGACGGCCTCCCTTATGTGCTTTTCCTTTACCTTCAAATACCCAATGAAAAAGATAAAACAAATAAAGACAAAGAAAAACAGATGAAAATAAAGATCATTAACAGGTGAAAAAAGGTAAAACCATAAAAAAGAAACAAAAAAAGCAACATGGGAGAACAAAAAATTCATTAATTAAATACTCAGAGAGAGAGAGAGAAAGAGAAAAAATAAAATGAAAATATTACAAAGAAAGAACAAGACAATCACAATGGAAGAAAGAAAACTTACCCATGATTAACAATGACACTGAAAAAAATTTAATTTGATAAGTTTAAACAATTAAATGGATTAAATTAATTTATGGAAAAAAATGTCAGAGACAATAGATCAAAGAAATAGAAATAAATTAGAAAAATAAACAATTTTAGAAACAATAATAGAAATTGTACCAGAGATTCTCTAGCGGAGAAAATAAACAGAAGCAAAATCTCCAACCAGATGGCGCCTCAGACATTCTCAGGAAAGAGAAGCAAAAAGTGTCTACAACACCGGGGGTTCCCAAGTGGTCTCCCTCCCAAGTACTAACCCGGCCCGAAGCTGCTTAACTTCGGAGATCGGACGGGATCCGGTGCTTTCAGCTTGGTATGGTCGTAGACAAAAGTAATGTTACCAAATACTTATTTAAATGGCATTAAAAACGAACTAATTTCAACTCAGTTCTACTCGATTATCTGTCCTTCGATCATTATTATTACTCGAGAGGAATTTAAATTTAATTTCCAGTTAAAAGATTAATCACAATTTAGATTTACTTCTCGCAGTTGTTTAGGTTGATTTATTTGTTTGTTCAACTGAATATTAAATGATGGAAAAATGTTTAATTTTGATTAATTGAAATGAAAACAAACTTGAAAGTAATCAAGATCATCAGTTAATTTTAGAGATGGAAACTTGGAGTTTAATTGTTGATAAATATTTTATTGTTTACATGTTATGTTAATCAATCTCCTTTTTTTTATTGGCTGAATGTAAAAGCAATTAGTTAATTGTGGATTGTGGATTGAGTTGATTAAAGTGATATTTTGAGTTTTTGAATGAGGGAAAGTTTTCCAAGTTTCATTTGGATTGATAATGTTTACAATTTGATGATGATTTTGTTTTGACAATTTGAACAAGTGATTAATTAATTAGAATTAATTTTCTTTTCTTCGATTAAATTACAATTAATATATAATTCAACTTCTCATTTGGATGAAAAATGTTTTTGTAAGGGATAAGAAGTCGAGGATTAGGAAGAGGAGGAAAAGGAAGTGGAAGTTAAAGTAGGAAGAGGAAGTAGATCTCATCATACTTGCATCACTCCAATGGTCATGACCCGTCGAGACCGATAATCAATTTGTAACAATTTAAGGAGAATCAAATTAATCTCCAAAAACTGTAAATTGCTCGTTAATTGTTAATCTTTTCACTTTTCATTATTGAGATTACATGAGGTTATAAATTAATTGCTAATCACATTGATATTGAACATTAGCTGATTAATTGTTCTGATATTAACTGTTTGACTTTTAAAAGGTGGAAATAGCAATTAGATTATTACATTGATAATTAGGGTTAATTGTTAGTATAAAAAAAGGGATATTCATGATAGAGATAGAAACATGATTGGTTAGTTTTGGGAAATATAATCAAAAATTGCAATTAATTAATTAGTAGTTACAATTTGCTTTTTTTCATTGATTATTGCAAAACCTGCAATTGGCAAACTATTTGTTGGTGATTAACATGATTAATTTTAAATTGTCTTACTCACATTTGTTACCTGTTCAGATTGAATTAAAAATATACAATTTTAATGTTCCCCAATCAATTGATTGATCATCCTTAAGATGTAAAGCAATTAAACTAAAAACATTGACCACAATTTGATTGCTGAATCACAATTTTTTAAATATTGGAATCAGTTATTACTAAATTAATATTATTATCATTGTGATTAAATTAAATTAAACACTTATTATATAGTATGTTCAATGAATGATTAGAAAGTATCAAAGTTACTCAGATGATTAATTGTTTTGTAAAACTTGATTATCATTCATTTCAGGAGATTTCAATCAAACTTATACCACTGTTATTGTTAATCACTTTTCACCGTCAGGGTTATACCGCAATTGGTTAATAAATTGTTTACTAATTGAGGAATTTAAATTTTTGGACGTTTGTTAATTGTGACTTTTAAGTCCACAATATAACCGATGGTTCTTGACGATGTTCTTGAGTCTCACATTGGACCATGTTACTATTTAGATCGACGACAAATACACTTTCCGATGATGTTATTGCTCCGATTGATGATATTCTGGAAACGGCCATTGATCTATGTGATCTAAATTGTTAACAATTAAGAGTAAAGTTTTTAGAAAATATTGTTAGACCAATAATGTCATAGAAAGTATCAAAAAAATTGAATAGTTTATTTCGATTAGTTTAATTACCCTTTAGAAGGACGACCGATACCACTGATTAATTCAACTCTTCCATCAATTAGAGATAAATAGAGTAAATCTTCACGATTAATTGTTCCTGATGCTAGAAGAGCGTCATAGTTTCCATTCTTCCAAACGAAATCGCAATTTACGATTGAAAGAGTAGTTCGAACATCGTAGAGAAACTCTAGACCTGATTGGAGAAAATAATAAAATAATAAAGTTAATTGATTAGTTGAAAGAATCAATCATCGATTAATTAAGAAACTTACCACTTGATGTTACTTTTTGGACAATAATTGTTGTTGATACTGGACTAGTACTTGATGAATTGTGAAATATGTTGACCAAGAATTGATGATTTGGTGATATAAATGAATGATGAGCTTTGATGTGAGCATTATAACTTATTATTGAATCAGTTAATTGATCCAAAATTAATTGACCATTCAATTGATGAGTAACTGGAGTTTGACATTGTAATATGGTTAAACCATAATCAGTAAAAACAGCGTTAATTGGTTGACAATCAGCGAGATTAATTGTTTTTACATAGCGAAATTGTTCCATGTCAATTTTAATTAAAGTCCTTTCATCCCAATGGGTAACATATGCAAATCTATAGACAATAAATGAATAAGAAGATAAATTGATATAAAATTTGAGTTTTCTTAAAATCGTAAACAAACCAAATCAATTTACCTTGAATTGCCGTGTGAATTGTGTATTTCAACCGTTGATGGTTGAGGTATGAAAAGATTATAAACTAAATCAAAATGACCATCAATCGGTTGAAGGTGGATAACATTATGATTTCGGCCTGATTGGGTTATTCGGATTATTTGGACAGTTTTCCTATTGTGTCGTTGTTGATCTCGAGAGATTGAATCCCAGCCAAAGTTTTCAGGTTCAGAATTTTCACCATTAGAATTAATAATTTTACCCCCGAGTAAATCGTCTGAATAAAAACCAAATAGAAAATCAAATATCAATATAATCGTGAAATAATAATAATAATAATAATTTTTACCTGTTCCAGAATTAAGAATCCAAATGCGATCTTCAACTTCTCCTCGAACCAGCCAAAGATGATTAGGTCTTGGGTCAGTTCCAATAACATGGACAACGTTTAATTGTTGCGTATGGAAAACAATGATACGATTAAGATCTGGTTGACCAATATAAACCTTTGAATTGGAAATTATCGCATTTTCAGACCAAGAACAAGGGTCACCCCGAAGAGCCTGAGATCCACACAAAGGTAATCCATTAAGGGGAATAGTATCTCGAGCATCCATTTCATGAAGTAAACCTGAACATCCTTCGGTGAAAACACTCACTCCACTGCTATGGAAAACCCAAAGTTTTTGTTTATATTTAACAGCGGGTGAAGGGCCAACAGGTTCATCCTAGAAAATTAAATTAGAGCAAAGAAAAGTCAAATTTAAAGAATACATATTACATGAGATATCACATTTAAACAATAATCTTATTAAAATTTGAATGATAAATGATTCTAAGGTGAAAATAATTATATATATATTTTCCATGTAAATATATTATTATGATTGAATATTCAAAGATGAAGGGATAATATTAATACTTATATATTATCACCATGATCTACATCTAAATGATGATGATTATTATTTGACTAATGATATTTTCCGTTATTAACATATTATAATCTATTGGAAATGTTCATCTCATTAAATATTACAATCTCTATGTAATATCCATGGTGTATATTACATGTAGATGATGATATGTAATAGTTATTTTAATAATACATGGGTGATAATGATGATGATAATTTCATCAATTCTGTCAGAATTATTTTTCTCTCTCTTCGTTATAATTTATTCATTTATAAATCAAAGGCTGAACGATAGTAGAAATAGTTCTGGAAGTGTTTATGAATATCATTACAGAATCTATTCTTTTTTTTGTTCATTTCTCAGCTATTATTATTATCATCTTTTTGATTCAGCTTCATCATTAATCTTTTCTTGTGAGAGTTTATTATTATTCAAGAATTTCAATTTCAATAAAACGAGAAAGATAGGGAAAAATCAATTCTTTGAGAGATGAATGAAAACTGGACATTTTACCTGAACGAGAAGTGAACTTATATCTTGACCAAGAGCGGCATCACCTCGATTGGTAACTCGGCAAGAATAAGCCCCAGTATCTGATCGTACTAATTGGGACATAGTTAATCGTGTTCGATTTTGTGTTAAACTGGTTCGTTCATTGGGCTCCATTATTTCATTATTTTTGTACCAAGAAATTTCCAATTCCTCGTCTAAGCTTTCATATTGACAATCGATTGATGATTTACCACCTACTGCAGACCATTGGAAGTGTGGAGTTACTTCAACAATCGGTGGAACTGATTAACAATTAGATCAAAAGGAAAGAGGAGGGAAAATTAGTACTTAGTATTTCGAGTAGTTAAAATCGTTCTCATTATATACAGAAGTCGATTATCATCAACAATATAATCATATCAATGGAATATTGTATTTCGAAAGCATTAACATGCAGAGAGAGAGAGAGAGAGAGAGAGAGAGAGAGAGAGATGAAAGAAAATATATAAATGCGGAAATGATGATAATGATAAAGAAAAGTGATCAAGTTAATAATGAGAATCAGGTGAATTAAGGTAAGGAAATGGACGAATTGAGAATCAGTTAAAAACAATGAGAAGATGATAAATGTAAAGGCTTACCAATTACATGGAGAATATGGATTTGCTTGATAATGGGATTGTTTTCAGCAGAACAAGTATAATTCCCGGATAATGGAACCTGGACATTGGTCAGATATAACGAACCATCGCTGAAAACCTATAAGAATATACGGAAAGAGGATGAGAGAGAAAAAGAAAGACTCAATTAGCTAATATAAAATAAGAGAATAACATTAATATAAGATGAACATTGGA